TTTAATTTTGATTTGCTTTTTAGTATCCAAAAAGTTACTTATTGGCCAATTACCATAACAATATTTTTCACGTTTTGCTTTTTGGCAATAAGTACAGTTAGTGAACTGATATTTTCTATGGAAGTCAAAATACTTCTTTCCAGTTACCTCTCTGGCGTGGGTTTGATTCCCGGGAGATGCTTTGGTAGTTTAGCACAGAGGAAGGTAGTCTAGTACTGGTGTAACTCTCCAGGAACGATGGTTAGGAAACTACCCGCCTATATGACTGAAATACTGTTGGGAAAAGGCGTAAAAATGAAACAAACAAAAAACAAAATACTTCATTGTTTACATTTTGCTACTTTTATGACAAATAATTTCACATTTAGCGTTACTTTCATTAGGCAACAAGTAGGGAACATTCTCTTAAACTATTATTTAAAAATTATGTTTATGTACGCCCTTTCTTTAGGAAGTAAAATTTATTTGTTTCTGAGGCATAATGTGCCTTTAATAAACCTATTTCAAAACAATTTGATTATAAAAATATTGTATTTTTTCAGCAAAAATGGTAAAGTTCAGAAACGTGGTAAGATTAATCTGATAGGACGACTTCAGTTGTCAACAGAAAAGAGTAAAGAGGAAGACAATGAAGGAATCATGCAACTTCGTATCTTACGTGTACAGGTATGATACTTCTGTTATTAATGATTTATATTGTTAATGTGTAATTGCTACCAGTGTAGTATCAAATTTTAAACGGATTTTTTTTGCTATGTTATAAATGGTAGAAGTTAGAAAACACTATCGCTTCCCTTAATCAGAAGTAGTTGATTACAGAAGTAGTTGATTAATGTGATTTTTGTTAAGATTATTATTATCAGGAGCAACTGTTTTCTAAATTTATCATTAATGAAGTGAGTAAAAAAAAAAGTTTTCTAAAATTATACAAGCTGTTGATTATTGGTCTACAAGACATTGAGATTTTTCTGTTGATTTATTTCAAATGTAGTGGAATTATCTAGTCTTTTGTCATAATTAGGTTAATATTTTTCTTATAAATGTATGTATTCAATTTCAGGAGGCCATTGTAAAAATAATGAAAATGCGTAAAAAGATCACAAATGCAGCTTTACAGACTGAGCTTGTTGAAATCCTAAAAAATATGTTTTTACCATCCAAAAAACTTATCAAAGAACAAATAGAATGGTTGATAGAACACAAATATATGAGGAGAGACGAGGATAATATCAATCTATTTATTTATATGTCATAGTGTGTGTGTGTGTGTGTGTAAACACAGTCTTGTCCTGCTTTCATATACTGACCTCAACCAATCACAATCAAGAATGTCAATTACTGTTAAGCTGGATGATATGAAAACCAATCATGACTAAGAATACAGATTGGCAGTTGGAAAGTCATTTGTAACAGCTTGTCTGATTGGATGAACAATGATATTGGATTGAGAGCCATTTTAGAACAATATGCATTAAGAATGCAGAAGCAGGGGAAACTGGGAAATGTGCACTGAACTGCCGGTCAAGTTAGTGTACTCTGAATTCCTTTAACAGACGTGAAGTTTTGATTTTATATTATTATATCTTCATCAATATAAGGGCTTGTGTCACTGTTACTGTTTAGTTTACCACCAGACATTTTAGTTATTTTCTGTTATGAAAAATTTGAAGACATCTGGGTACATGAGGTCTTGTTTTAAAGTAAATCAAATATCTATTAAATATTCTTTTTGTTCTGTAATGGCCTTTCTGTTGAAACGTCTTTAGGTCAAGAATATGATGTTTGATCACTATTACATAATGAATTGCTTTTAAAGTGACCAAAATGAAATTTATGGTGTATTCATTCAATTTATAAGGGATTTAGTGTATTTTAGAGTTACGTAAGAAGGAGCTTAAGTTAAATATTGTATTGTCGGCTTATAAAGTCAGCTGGTAAAAATACCATTGTTTATAATGGATTTGTAATTTAAATTTTAAAGTGCATTATTGAAAGAAGTGTTTATAAAAATAAGTTTCTTTCTGTCCTCAATATTTCATAATGATTATCAAAGTAGTGATTTATACAATAGTCATATTAAATGCAAAAACATTTCTTTCAAAATTAAAGATAGTATTATCTGGTGTAGACAAGAATTGCAGTACTTATGAAAAACAAGCCTGAATATTTCATCTGTTAGAATAGAAATATACTTGGTAAAAATTCATAATTTTCTCCATTTTGTTTTATATATCATATATGATGTTTTGTCATCAACCTACTGACTAGTGTGGGCCAGCCCAAATTTTTCCAGACCTCAAGATAACTGGAAAACTATCAGGAAACCTGAACATAATTTATACTGTACAGTTATAGAATTCTAGTTCTGCTATCCCAACTTCTCTCGGCTTAAAGTTACTTTAATAATAATAATTTGTTCTTTATAATTTTACATTTAAGTTAGTTAGTAATTTATTCAGTGGCTCAGAATTTTCCTATAAGGTTGTGATAGACACATTTTAGTAGGGTAACATTTGATCATACCTGCAAACCCATTATGTATATGATCAGTAATATCAACTTGCTGCATTTATATGTCAAATACTGCTTGGTTTATGTTTCATTACCAGTATATTAAGTTATTATATTCCTGTCCTTTCTTTAATTTTTCTTTTTGGACTGTGTTGAAATTTGTTACAATCACCTCATTCAATACACATACACATAAATATATATAGTATCATTTAGAAATAAAGTGATACCATTTTTTCCCATATTTTGATGTTGTTGCCTTTTTAAATTGATATCTGCAATAAACTACAAAAAATTCAAAGGAATGTTTGTTAAGTCCATTTTTTGTAAGCAATTTCATTTCTAAATCTGAATGTATTTTTGTATTCACATAAAACTGTTAAAAGCTGTTTTTGTACAAGAATGTTTGAATAAGACAAGCTAGAACAAGCATAGAAGCAAAGTTAAATCAAGTAATAAATACATGTATATAATTCACTAGTTTCAAACTGTTATTATAATTTAAAGAGGCTTACTGCCAAATATTTCTAAATTACAATATCATTCTTTCTGGATTTTTTTATTGGTTAAAAAATTTCTATTTTAATTTCTATTTAAACGATGCTAATGATTTCTTTATTGCAGGTTTTTTATCCTTCGTGCTTTTAGAATTAGAAAATTTTAATATTGTTTAAAATGCTTCTGTTTGTAAAACATTAAATGAAATCTATGAAGCTTAATTTTGGGAAACAATCTGGTCATTTAAATGCTTGTGGTAGAAGTTGTTTGTTCATAATCTGGCTAAGTTTAAGTGAAACCAAACATAATCTGGCTAAATTAAGGTGAAACCAAACATAATCTGGCTAAATTAAGGTGAAACCAAACATAATCTGGCTAAATTAAGGTGAAACCAAACATAATCTGGCTAAATTTAGGTGAAAACAAAACATCTGGCTAGGTTTAGGTGGAAAAAAACCCAGCTTAGGTGAAAACAAAATATGATCTGGCTGAGTTAAGGTGAAAACCATGTTCTGGCAGTATCAAGGTGAAAAAACAAGACATGACCTTGTTAAAGCCAATGCAGTGATCATTTAATGATGTGTATTTTGCGTCACATATAGGAGGCAGTATGCACTCTTGGAAGTTAACGCTGTCATGAAATGCTATTTTCAGTTGTTCTTTTTTTAATTGAGGCATTGTATTAGATACTAGTTTTATTTTTCTATTATATCTGCCTGTAAATGATCTACTTTTATATATGTGCAGAAATTGAGACTATGCACCAGGCCTGTATATGTTTCTTAAGTTTTACATCCAGTTAAACTGTTGCTAATATACAGAATATAGTAATAGTTATGAAATTGCTGCAAATAAAAACTTGAAAAGTTTGTATGGTGTTTGTTTTTGCGTTATCTAAACTTTATTTATTTTTATCCTTGATGCTGAAAATGTCTGCCGGTCTGCCCTTTTATGTTCTTCTCAGTATTTGCCGGGAAAATATCTAGTCAGTCTTGCCTCCTGTTGGAATAAATGATTCTTGCATAGCAGACTGGCGTTTCTGTGGGTTTTACCCATCCCAGAAATTTCATCTGCCATGGGGGGTGCCAGATGAGTCGCGTGCCAAACAACGTCATTTTAGCGCACTTTATGAATGAACCGCGTTAAAATGACGTCGTTTAAGAAGGGATATATGTGCTTAGAATTACATCATTTCGACGTTGTTATTTAAGTTGTAAGTTCATACGCTATTGTAAGAAAATAGTTATGGATGAAATGACTTTGATTTCCATGATAATATATCATATTGAGGAATATCTGTCCCTCGGGGAACCTACCCATTGGCGGTAACTCGACAAGCCTAGTTACCGCCCATTGGGCGGGTCCCCGCGGGACATATTCCGGTCCGAACCGCAACATATGACAGATATTATTAATTCAACAATAACTTAAACATGGCAAAATGTGCTTCGTTGATTAAACTAGTATTCGATACGAGGCTATTTGGAGATCATGCATATCATTTTGCTTTTCCTTTCACCAGAATCCTGCTTGCCATGGCTGGTTACATTGTATTGTAGGTGAATAGAGTAATTACTCAAATATACAAGTTAGGGTAAAAGACAAGAGTAGTTTCATGATGATGTATAATGTACTTTAAATGCCAGGGAGAGTAGGCTCCACCTATAAGAATAGTTTTGTCTGGTTTTGATGTCAATTTATACACATTTTTTGTCACATCTTGGATGTCAGTTCACTCAACTGGCTTTCCTGCCCATTTTACCTTTAATCACCAATCCCTCGACATTTGTCAAGTGACAGACAAAATATCCCACATGATATATAAATCAGAGATGAGAGACCAATAGACTCAATTATCACAGTGAAGTTTTACCTTGCCCGAGGATCAAACCACTGACCTCTGAATAACAAATATGATGCTCTATATATTTAGCTAAATGGGACAGTTAATCTAGAAATATTGGTTTGGAAAATTCACAACAAAGAAAATATCAACTTTCTATATTTAATTATATATCAATGACCTATGCATTACAAAGAGCACATTTTTGTAATATCACACAGTTATAGAAACTTGCTACTATCCTACTCGTATATTCCTGACTTCTAGAGTAACAAGTTTTATCTCAGAAATCATTCTAGTCTTATTATCACAGTGATTATGTTGTGTAGGTTTTGTAAAATCTGACAACTCAATGAACATCAACCAAGCTACCTCAGAGTTCTAATAACCCTGAAAATAATATTCTGAATACGGTAGTTGTTCCTATGAATCCACAAATTATCATTCAACTTGCAACATGAGCAAACTTCTATCAAAATTTCAAAACAAAAACAATACTGGTAAAAAATAATAAATCACCCGAGTAAAGGGTATAAAGTTATATATCTATATATATAGGGCTATCTATAATCAGTGAATTTTTTGTTTGGATGAAACAAAAGTACCTAAATTCAAAGAACAATGTTGATATCTTAAAATACCTGTCCATATACAAAATGTTTTGTTTAACATTCTAAAACACAGTTGAATATTTTTATAGGGAGTGTTTCATTCTGTTTTCATATATAATACAGTAGAACTTCTATGTGTCGAACTTTGATTAGTTGATTTTCTCCAATATACCTGTCATTATTCTAATTGCCGTAGTTATATTTCAAAGTCAACAGTACCAATAAGTTTGGTTGAGATCTTGTGAGACCAGGTAACGCGTGATAATCACACCGGATATATTTTACTATAAGCTGGTTTAGTTATCACAATTTCCTTTCATTATGCCTTTTGTAACTCAATAGTAAAACGATGGCTTAAATTCTTGTCAATTTACGAGTCAAAGTCCCGATGTGTCAAAGGTTTTATGCAAGTCCCTTCAACTTTGACGAACCTAAGTTCTACTGTATGTTAATTTAATAACACTTTGCACAATCAAGACAATGCACAAAAGAATAAGAAAACAATGTGACCATACAGGCTTTGTAAATTTTACTATTTGCCTGTAATAACTTTACACCCTTTCATAAATTCAAATGTGAAATAACTTTTAATCAAACTGCTGAAACTGTAGAAGGTCTTTCATCAAAATTACCATCATTTTACATATTTTAAATTTCACCCAATCATTAACATGTACTATTCAAACTTTCCCTAGACTTCACCGCTGATTAAACTAACAAAAAATAAAACTGTCAAAAAACAAATTTAAAGAATATACAAAGAACAATTATCATTGAACTAAATCAAAGGTAACAATTATTGTAATGCACAAAAATAAAGCTGGGTTTTAGAAGGTAATTGCAACAATGTAATAAAACAGATTTTCTTAGAAAGCCTTCAAAACAACATTCGAGTCATTAGAAAACATAAGAAAGCCTTCAAAACAACATTCGAGTCATTAGAAAACAGTCATTAGAAAACATCATTTATATGATAAAAATCTTTATATGAAAAGTACATGTATGTTAAACATTTGGCATCTATGATAACCAAAACTGATTTATGCTTATAAAAACATCTCGCATACAATCAGATAAACTTAATTGCAACTGTGAACAAATTTCCCTTGTTCCAAATGATTTGAAAATCTGCTGTCTAATGTAAGGTATTCAACTGTTAGAGTCAATCCTTTCCTAACAAAACACTGGTAAAAATTCAATGCCTTTCTGTTTTTGAAATACAAAAAGTAAGATTTGTCCAGAATAAACTAGAAATGTGTCCATAGGACACGGATGCCCCCATACGCCACTGTTCTGTCAATCTTATGACTCTAGGTCAAATATTTTTTGGACTACAATAATATTGTAGTAACATGTGCCACAAGTTGAAAACTAAAAATCAACAAAGGGCCATAATTCTGTTAAATTTGGTCGCAGCAAAAATTCCTTCCTTTACTACCATCTACACATTAAGGTTGTTAATCCCTGGAAGTTTAAGCAAAATCTGCCATCCGATTTAAGAGGAGTTGCGTTCACAAAATTTCTACATAGTATATAATAAAAAAATCAACAAAGGGCCATAATAACAAAGGGCCATAATTCTGTTAAATTTGGTTGCAGCAAAAATTCCTTCCTTTACTGCCATCTACACATTAAGGTTGTTCATCCCTGTAAGTTTAAGCAAAATCTGCCATCCGGTTTAAGAGGAGTTGCATTCACAAAATTTCTATATAGTATATAGTGAAAAAATCAACAAAGGGCCATAATTCTGTAATATTTGGTCGCAGCAAAAATTCCTTCCTTTACTACCATCTACACCTTAAGGTTGTTCATCCCTGTAAGTTTAAGCAAAATCTGCCATCTGGTTTAAGAGGAGTTGCGTTCACAAAATTTCTACATAGTATATAGTGAAAAAATCAACAAAGGGCCATAATTCTGTTAAATTTGGTCGCAGCAAAAATTCCTTCCTTTACTACCATCTACACATAAGGGTTGTTCATCCCTGTAAGTTTAAGCAAAATCTGCCATCCGGTTTAAGAGGAGTTGCGTTCACAAAATTTCTACATACAGTCCGACCCCGGTTATTCGACAACCCATTATTCGAATACCCGGCATTATCCGAAGTTGATCTACGGTCCCGTTTTCATCTCTATATAAACTAATATAAATACCAACGTATTATTCGAAATGCATTATCCGAATACCTCCTATTTTTCGAAGCAAAATTTCGGTCCCGATTATATCATTATATAAGAATTTCACACCTATTATTCGAAGCCAGACTAATTGGCACTGATTGACTCGCTGACCGTCCCGACTTGTGAAAAACTTTGCGGAAAAACTTCTAACAACGGTGCGTGTATTTAGTTAATCGTGATAATAACGATTTGCGTGTACATTTTCAACTTTAATTACCGAACATTAATTGTACGCTTTTAATTGGACGGTTAAAAGTGTTCAAAATAATTATTTTAATTAGTGAATGAAACTAAACAAATGAAAATAAACTGTGATATTAATTGGACGGTTAAATCTGTTCAAATTAAGATTTTAATTAAAGAATAGATTGAAAAATTAAACAAATAAAAACAAACAACTAGCGAACTGTGTCATGTTTTTTTTTTATAAATGTGAATTCCCAGTTTCTATTTCAAATCAGTGCAATATGTCTACGTTAGCACAAGATATTCTTGCTGAGCAATCTTGGATGTTTAATATTACCGAAATGTGTCTGTGAAAATTACATTTAGAAGTGAAAAATAATATGACTTTTCAAGTTGCTTGTTTATATTTTGACGAAGATAAAATATTAATATTACTTGTATAATGTTGAATACATTTGTAATGCATGTACATGTATATCTATGATTTAAATCCTGCGCCGTGCCCGATGTTGTTTTTTTTCTCTCATACGGAAGATGACAGCGATATTTTTAATGTTCATGCATGTTTATATTAACCTATACGCTATATGTGCTACAGAATCTGGAAATAAAATGCAAGTAGTTATGTTTAAGTTAACAATAAAAATATTTTAAACATTTATCATTGTTTATTTGTTTTTCTCGATTGATTACCGGTAACAGATGAGTTGTAAACATTTAATTCCGCTAGAATTTGCGATATGGTCAAGTGGTGTAGTTTTTGTCTATCACTATGTTCGGATTTGGATTATTCGAACCCATCGATTTTTCGAAGTAAATTTTCAGTCCCGGGAACTTCGAATAATCGAGGTTGGACTGTAGTATATAGTGAAAAAATCAACAAAGGGCCATAATTCTGTTAAATTTGGTTGCAGCGAAAATTCCTTCCTTTACTACCATCTACACATTAAGGTTGTTCATCCCTGTAAGTTTAAGCAAAATCTGCCATCCGGTTTAAGAGGAGTTGCGTTCACAAGATTTCGGGACATGCGGACGGACGGACTGACGGACTGACAAGTGCAACGCTATATGCTCCCACATTGTGGGGGCATAAAAATCAAAAAACAATCATTTCTACAATGATTTTTTATATGATATAACTCAAACTTCCAAAGAACTGAGATATTAAGTATTAATAAACACAATATTTCTGTTATTTTCTGTGATTACTGCATCCTGTTATAATATCTACATAGCTAACATCATCTGACCAGCCAGTGTAGTATAATGTCTGCAAATTGTTCCTTAATCATTATTTTGTTCAAACATGAGGACAAAATATCTTTTTTTCTTCATGTTAATGACATGGATTCATAACAGATCAATATAATACAAGTAATCTCAAGTTGGTGTATCTGTGGTGGTATTAACATCTCCACTTCCATCTCCATTCATTCTACACTTTGTCACTAATTTTTCAGTGTCATTTACATCAGCTGTAGTTACCTCCCCTTGTTCCCCATTCACTTCCATCTTAGTGGGCCCGGCTTCACTATTTGCTGGTATATTATCCCTGGAAATGGTATGGGAGCAAACTTGAGCATCCCATCCACATGTAATCAGAGTATTCTCCCCTGACCAGGACACTCCCTTAACAAAGTCAGTATGTGAGGTACATCTATATCTGGAAGGTCAAAATATACAATGATACATTATCTACGTCTTAATGAATTCATCAGTCATTTTTTATTGCCAATAAAAGACAAATCTTTAATGGCAATATATGATATATATTTTCTGGCAAGATAAGACGTATATTTACTGACAATACAAGACATATATTTACTGGCAATACAGGACATATATTTACTGACAATAGAATACATATATTTACTGAATAGAATACATTTATTTACTGACAATACACGACATATATTTTCTGGCAATATATGATATATATATTTACTGACAATACAAGACATATATTTACTGGCAATACAAGACATATATTTACTGACAATACAAGACATATATTTTCAGGCAATATAGGATATATATTTTCTGGCAAGATAAGATATATTATCTGACAATATAAGACATGTATTTACTGACAATATAAGACATATATTTTCTGGCAAGATGAGACATATATTTACTGACTATACAAGACATATCTACTGGCAAAATGAGAAACATCTTTATTGCTATTATGAGACATCAAATGTACAATATCATATCCCCTCACCGCTGTGGGTTCAAATCCCGGCAGGGACTCTGGATTCTTTCATGTGAGGAAGCTATCTAGCTAGCTTATGGAACGTGGTGGTTCTACTCAGGTGCCCGTTCGTGCCTGAAAAATGCACAAAGGGGCACCTGAGGTCTTCCTCCACCAGTAAAGCTGGAACGTCGCCAAATGACCTATACTGTGTCGGTGTGACGTGAAACTCAAATCAAACAAACAAACAAACAATATCACATAATATCATCATAAACATCAGTCAAGTCATTGCCTTATTTTAAAGTGAGTACCATGCGAGAACACAAGTATTGAGGATATAAGTAAATATTACTGTAGGTGACTTACATTTGTTGAGGTTTATCAGTGGAAACATCTACAACAATTGCTGTACAATCTTCTGACACACTTGCCAACATGTTCTTCCTATCATAACATACAATACAAATATTTATAAACAATGATCACAGAATGAAGTAATAATTGGCATATTTAAATTTATAATTTCAATGAAAACAAAACTCAAATTTATAAGATACTAAATCTGAAATACATAAATTTCATTTCAAAATCAGATGTAGAAGAGCTAAGACATAAAAAAATAAACACAAAAGTTGAAAATAAAAGTTCAACAATTTTCATTTTAAGCATTTAAATAATGATTATAATAAGGAACATACTGTGTTGGTGAGAACTGTATTCTGTTGATACCTCTATAATGTGGTTTAGCAGAGACTGATTCTGTTACAGCTGCACGTGTATCTCGTACCACAAGATGACCGCTATTACTTCCTACACCATATACATGTTCCTCCCCTGGTTGCCAGGCAACACAAGTTGGTATATTTGACAATGGAGATTTATCTGAAATAATTTTCAAAACATTGTATAAAAATTCCTCTGAAATCAATGGGACACTAAAATGTTTTAATGTAATATTCAAATTCAAACAAGAGCCATGTTAAAATAGCCTTCCCCCTCCGAATGCCTTTGCTCATTGGAAGAATGTATATGTAGTAGAGCAAAATAATTCAATTTTGAGAGGTCTTTTGGACTGAAGTGATTACAGATTTGAAACCTATGTGAATACTGATGGCTGAAAATAACAAAGGGCAATAACTGAAAAATTATGCAGGGTAGGTCATCATTCTTGCGCACTGCACTCCTCAATATGATCTATCCACCTATGAAGTTTCAAGTTGATACCTCAAACACTTTTTGAAATATGCTCCGGACAAATATGTCAGACGGAAGGAATTTTGGGAGACATAATATTTTTCTTTGTTTGCAATTTTGCTTAAAAAAAAGACTCCTTGTATAAGATTAGTTGTTACACCCCCTAGGTATAACTTTAAATGATATCATTCTACTCCTTGTTGTGTATGAAGTTGTAAATTTGTGTGTGACTATATTAGGAAAAAGTTTTTAATAAAAATATTACTTAATTTCTTTTCAAACTATAATTAACATGCACATTGCTAGAAAATAATCCAATTCTGGCAGCCAATGAATAAAACAATTTCCTGATTACCAACTTAAATAGTTAGCCCAGGTCTCCACAATACCTGTGATGAGAATCACATATGAATATACTGGTACCATTTCACACTGGTATCACTGAGTTTGAGTATATCCTTGATCCAGATAATCTGTACTGTACCAGTACTTATTGAAACACTCGTGCAATCTTAAGTTTACATAGTGAAAAAATATAGATTCATTAGCAAAAACACGCTTGCTGGATTTTATCTTAACATTTTAATTCAAGCAGCAAGTCAACTATTTAATATTTATATGTATATTAATTTAAGAAGAATCTACCAATATAAATTTGTATTTCTCTTTATTAACGTTCTAAGTAAATTGTATATCCCTAGGATATAAGTATTTATAAACAATAAAACATTACAATGGTTGTAAAGAACTAGTCAATAACAAGATATGACAGTATTTACTCATTCATGAAAAAATTGATTTTGGTGTTTACACTTTTCTCATCAAGAGCAATGTTTAGTATCCTAATTCAGTAACATCTGATTTAAACAAAATTACATGTTGTACAAGACACGGAGTGTAATTTTTTAACATGTAATAATATGATTAATACAGGATATTGAATAAGTGTAAGTTTAATACTGAATTTATTGAATGAGTTGAAATAAGTTATATTATTTGAGCCTCTGGCAAGCATATCAACGAGTTCAATAAATTCAGTAATGAATTTACACAAGTTTAATATTCTATTTATCACATACCAAAAATAAAGACTGTTTGAAGTGATTGAGAATCACCTCATTGATACGCCTATAGTATAATGCTAACATTCAGCATGTCTTAACACTTTGTTTATATACAGTGAAATTTGAGAAAACCGGACGCTGAGAAAATCGGAACTCTCTAAATACCGGACGAATAATTCAGTCCCAAATTTTCCCTTCTTTAAACTTTTGTATTAAACATTGACAATACCGGAATCTGTAAAAACCGAATATCGGACGGTTGAAAGGGGACTACAAAGTCCATTATATAGACAATTACCCTGACAATACCGGACGAGGAAGGTGTGAATAACCTTGTGTACTTATCAATTGGTTGTGTCTAATACGCTAATTGAGCAGTAACGGAACAATGATTATCTGCTTAGTTAATTATGTCTCTTTTTACAGTTTGATTCATTGTAAGGTATAGATGTTACCGTTTTATATAAATGCCAAAATACACGAGAAATTGATAAGTTAAAATCAGTATGAATGAAAAATAGAATATTATTATACTGCATTGCTTTTTGTATATTCATTTCCCAAAATGACAACGCAACCGAAACGACATTTATCAGCGCTAAGTTCTATTCCATGGCCTAAAAGAAATCGACGAGAGCTGTCTATAAGTGACAAATTTAAATTACTTAAAGACAGTGAAACTTTGCTGAGACCTACTTTAAAAATCTTTATTTGACAAATATGGTATAAGCAATATTTACAATTGGGGCATTATTATAAACAAACAAAGTAAACTATGTTCGTTAAATCATTATCCATTACCCAAATGTAAACATATGCGGGTGTAATCGGACTTTATCGTTATGAGGTAACTGCTGTTCGTTTAAATCAAAAATTTTATTGTATTTATATGCAATAATGGGATAAAAACAATTAAAACATATTGTTTAGTATTTTTATCATTTTTTTATTAAGCAATATACTTACTCATGATCATGAAAATGCAAATATACGTTCAGCATCCTTTGTAAGTTATTGCTCGGTTTATAGGATCCTAAATAGCTTAAGGGGACATTGAGAATACCGGACCGCTGAGAAAACCGGACAAAACCCTCGGTCCGAAAGCCGTCCGGTTTTCTCAACTTTCACTGTATAATGCAAATAACGTCATGGCAAAATATATGAACAGCCGTGCAAAACCATTTTTACTGAGTCGAAAAGTGGCAGGGGTATGTGACAATTTAAGATATGTATACCTAATCTGGTTGCTGGTTTTTGTTTTCTTAAATCCCATAAAAATATACTCCCATCTTGTGATGCAGTGAGACATAGGTCTGGTTGTGTTGGATGACTTCGTACACAATATATGGCATCAGTATGACCTAAAATATACACAATATACTGAATCAGAACTGAAAGAAGGTGAATCAAATGCATTATAAACAATGGTAAACATAATGGAAGGAGACTAGTTTGTAGACTTCACTCACTTCATGAATGTTTAACACCTTTATTTAAGTATGTGCTATCATTAGAGTTATTATGTGTATATGTATGTATGTTAATGTCTCCCACTTTGAACCACTGACACCTTATCAATACCAATTCAAATTCCACCAGGAACTATGGATTTTTTCATGTGAGAAAGCTATCCAAATGGAAAACAGGAAAGTTGCCATTTGGCTTTAACAGTGTCGATGTGACTTAAAAGCCAACAACAACAACTAATATAAAGAAATCAGTATATCACTGAAATGTTTTATTACTTTTGATGTGCCCCATGATGTATAATGTATAAATATGTACAAATTAAGATGCTTAACATATCTTAAAAAAACAAAAACAAAAAAAACTTTGAAACAATCATAGAGGTTAAAATGCCTTTACCTTTAAATCTTCTTACTGATGCAAAATTTTCGAGATCCCAAACTCTTATCCTGAAAGAAAAAACACCATTTTTACCGTATTAAATGACAGCTGTTATTTTCAAGGTAGTGCAATTTACCACAGAATTTTCAAAGTCAAATAATTATTTGACTATATATATATAATCAAGACAAATATAGGTGTAGAACAATTGAAAACAAATTGTAGTCAAAGATTAACGAATAATATATTCATATAGTTTATATGCCAATTTGTTCATCTCTTGTAATATTTACTTGAAAATAAGATGCAAGAATGCAAATATTTATAAAAAAAAACAACAAAAAAACACAAGAAGTTTAACCAATGTTTAGGCACGGATGAGTAGGATATCCCCACTGTTCTTGGGAATGTGAAGCAAAAAAATTAATGGTATACAATGTAGTTAATTAACTTACGAATGATCGTAACTAGCTGATATGACTTTCTTTTTGTCTTGACATACACAGACAGATGATACTATATTGTCATGTTCTGTTGCCGAGCTTTGTTGTATAAATGTGTGTAAATTGTCAGTCAACTCCCATAATGCAACACCACCTAAATACAAACATAACAGTTTTTTAAGTAAATTTAGACTAAATTTTATATTACGCATTTTTAACAAAATAATAAGCATGTCTATAACATTTATCCTGCTCAAGTTGAGTAATGCAGTTGAATGCTTTGAATTTTGAACATCCCATTAGCAGTTAAAGTGATTTCGATCTCAAATAAATGGACTAGACTATGTTAGAAGTATAGGGTCAGGCCAAGCCTAGCCATAATAAATACACTATGTTACTAGTATGATTCAGGCCTGGCCTGGCCATAATGACTAGACTATGTAACTAGTATAGGTTCAGGCCTGGACTAGACCATGTTACTAGTAAAGGGTCAGGCCAGACTTCCCTATGTTACTAGTATAGGGTCTGGCCTGACCTAATCAAAATGATCTATGTTTATTAGTATAGGGTCAGGCCTAGCCTAGCCATAATGACTAGACTATGTTACTTAGAGATAGAAAATTACACTCGTCCCCTTGTAATTGCGAGTAGAATTTAAAAGAACTCCATGCAGGACAATCTCGACTTTGGATTTAGAAGCCACTTGTCCTGTCCCCCAGGATACCTAGCCATAATGACTATAAAGGCATGGCCTAATACAGGTCTGGCCTAGCGATAATGACTAGACAGGCCTAACCTAGCAATAATGACTAGACAGGTCTGGCCTAGCCATAATGACTCCTAGCCTAGCAATAGTGACTATACAGACCTAGCCTAGCAATAATGACTATACAGACCTAACCTAGCCATAATGACTAGACAGGCCTAACCTAGCAATAATGACTACACAGGTCTGGTCTACCCATAATGACTATACATGTTTGGCCTAGCCATAATGACTATACAGGCCTGGCCTAGCCATAATGACTATACAGGTATGGCCTAACCATAATGACTAGACAGACCTAACCTAGCCATAATGACTATACAGGTCTGGCCTAGCCATAATGACTATACAGGTATGGCCTAACCATAATGACTAGACAGACCTAACCTAACCATAATGACTAGACAGACCTAACCTAGCCATAATGACTATACACGTATGGCCTAAGCCATAATGACTATACAGACCTAACCTAGCCATAATGACTATACAGGTCTGGCCTAGCCATAATGACTATACAGATCTGGCCTAGCCATAATGACTAGACAGGCCTAACCCTAACCTAGCAATAATGACTAGGCAGGTCTGGCCTAGCCATAATGACTATACAGTCTGGCCTAGCCATAATGACTATACAGATCTGACCTAGCCATAATGACTATACAGGTCTGGCCTAGCCATAATGACTATACAGTCTGGCCTAGCCATAATGACTATACAGGTCTGACCTAGCCATAATGACTATACAGATCTGACCTAGCCATAATGACTATACAGGTCTGACCTAGCCATAATGACTATACAGGTCTGGCCTAGCCATAATGACTATACAGTCTGGCCTAGCAATAATGACTATACAGGTCTGACCTAGCCATAATGACTATACAGGTCTGGCCTAGCCATAATGACTATACAGATCTGACCTAGCCATAATGACTATACAGGCCTGGCCTAGCCATAATGACTATAACAGATCTGGCCTAGCCATAATGACTATACAGACCTAGCCTAGCCATAATGACTATACAGATCTGACCTAGCCATAATGACTATACAGGCCTAGCCATAATGACTATACAGGCCTGGCCTAGCCATAATGACTATACAGTCTGGCCTAGCCATAATGACTATACAGATCTGACCTAGCCATAATGACTATACAGGCCTAGCCATAATGACTATACAGGCCTGGCCTAGCCATAATGACTATACAGATCTGGCCTAGCCATAATGACTATACAGACCTAGCCTAGCCATAATGACTATACAGATCTGACCTAGCCATAATGACTATACAGGCCTAGCCATAATGACTATACAGGCCTGGCCTAGCCATAATGACTATACAGTCTGGCCTAGCCATAATGACTATACAGTCTGGCCTAGCCATAATGACTAGACAGGCCTAACCCTAAACCTAGCAATAATGACTATACAGGCCTGGCCTAGCCATAATGACTTTACAGATCTGGCCTAGCCATAATGACTATATAGTCTGGCCTAGCCATAATGACTATACAGATCTGACCTAGCCATAATGACTATACAGTCTGGCCTAACCATAATGACTATACAGATCTGGCCTAGCCATAATGACTATACAGATCTGACCTAGCCATAATGACTATACAGATCTGACCTAGCCATAATGACTATACAGTCTGGCCTAACCATAATGACTATACAGATCTGGCCTAGCCATAATGACTAGACAGGCCTAACCCTAACCTAGCAATAATGACTATACAGGTCTTACCTAGCCATAATGACTATACAGGTCTGGCTTAGCCATAATGACTATACAGGCCTGGCCTAGCAATAATGACTAGACAATGTACCTAGTACAGGATCAGGCCTGGCCTAGTCATAATGCTAGATATAGGTTAACTTAACCCAGAATGTAATTATTTCTTTTCTTAATATTTTAACATCCTTAATTTGCATGCTTCAAATGCTTCACACTCAATACAGTTTATACATAATGTATTAAAGCATTTTCTATTCAACTTCATGAATTGCTCCAGGCCAAAAGGAATATATTTGTTTCTAGTCTCCAACTCCTTGAAAAATGAAGGTATGTACCATTTTCTTTTCATAAATATTGAAACATATTTCCTGTAATTATATATATATTGTAAATAAAAGATTTTTAAAACAGAAAAAGGCTAATAAATAAAGAATTTGCAGTTAAAAGGGTGAAAGGGTGGTAAATAGAAGGGAAACCAGAAACAGTACATTCTTTTTGGCCTAATAACTGAGTCACATTAACATAAAATGTCAGATAAATATCTTTTATCAAAACATTAATAAAGTAAGTGACTGTAAGATATATTATAAACAACAAACATTTCTCTTAAATCAGCCTAAGTTTAACAGTTAACACAAAGTTATAATATAGAGCCAGGTAAGTATGTACATCACAGCTCTCAACTGTTGGTAGATCAAATTGTTGACTTCAAACCACTTGCCCCTCACTGGTGTGTGTTTGAATCCTGACAGGGAGTGTGGATTCTTTTATGTGAGGAAGCTATCCAGCTAGCTTACAGAACGTCAGTGGTTCTACTCAGGTGCCTATTTGTGCCTGAAAGGGCACCTGAGGTCTTCCTCCACCAGAAAAGCTGGAAAGGCGACATATGACCTATACTGTGTTGGTGCAGCGTAAACCCCAACAACAATTGTATTTTGATACTGAAATCCCTTTAACTTTGAATGGACTGGTTCAGAAGCAAAGTTGGACAAGTCAGCAGGTTTAACTTTAATTTGTAGATATAACTGATAAAGACATGAAGTATGAATGTGTATCATAGTTAACACTAATATGGTTATGACCCTATATTACACTAAGAACCATACCTGTCATAATTCTTTAATAGCTTAGATAAACATAATACCAATGTATACAGTATCAAGGAGATGTAAAACATTCTTTAGTTAATCAGGACATTATTTACAACTGAAATGGTCATTAATTTTTGACATACATAACTTGCTACCTGGCAAATAATAATTACCTGTTTACAACATTTTAAATGTTACAATTAGCATAGAATTATTGATTTATGAGTTTCAGAGTGTAAACAATGGTACAATCATTTAATAACTCTAGACTAAACATTTCGGATTTTTTTTTAATTTTTCCATACATTACATAACTCTAAAATTAAAATGAAATTAAGGACATAATAAATCAAATTAATTTACCTGTATCCAATCCAACAAGTACTCTTGTATCATCTACCCAGCATGCATCATTAAGTCCTGCCTCAAGTTGCACCCCGGCAGTGCATTTTTCAACATCTGGAGCCAGTTGAGGATTTTGGTAATACCATAGAGAACCATACCAATACCTACCAGTCAGACTTGATGCTCCAAGTAATATACCTCCATCTGAAATAACAACCATGCTGGATTAAAAAGTTAACAAAAGCACCACATGCAACTGTTACAACTTGTCTGGTAAAGTGACATGTGTATTCTTTGCCCTGTCAAGTTTCAAAATGTAAGGAAATATCTGAGGATTGCATGAATTATTGATTACTTTTGCATGGTAAAATATAATTTTGTTTTGTTTGTTTGTTTCATTTTACGCCTTTTCCAACAGTATTTCAGTCATATAGGCGGGTAGTTTCCTAACCATCGTTCCTGGATAGTTACATCAGTACTAGACTACCTTCCTCCGCGCTAAACTACCAAAGCATCTCCCGGGGATCGAACCCACGCCAGAGAGGTAACTGGATTAGAAGTCATCGACTCTAACCCCTCGACCACGGAGGCGGAGGTAAAATATAAAGGGGAGTGATGCCCAAGTGGTTAAGGTGTCTACCTCTCATCCTAAGGATCATGGGTTCGAGCCCTAGTCAGGACATGATTATGTTTCTTCATATGACACAAGTACTGGTTGGTTCCAGGAACCAGACTCGAAAGTGATTAATATAAGTTGCAAGAACTTGTTTTGCAATCAAGTTTAAGGTGACAACGGAGTCAATTATCACTGAAAATACCTAAAATGAGATTTTTTGCTAAGTAGATTTATCAACCTTTTTGAACACATTCGTGATTTAATTTTGGAAGCAGTTTGTCCAAAAAATGTGTTTTTAAACGTTTTAAAACAGTACCTATACTATTTGTATCTGCCATTCGCGTAACCTGTCGATTATCGATAACGCTCCGCCCCCTGTTGAGGCATCAATGAGGGAAATCGGTAGTTCCATATATCTGTGAATTACAGGTCCATACTGGTCCATACTTCTCGTAATACATGTATCATACAACTACCGTACATCTTTTATGAACATCTCAACATTTAGCCTTTTTTATAAATTAAGAAATTGTCGGCCAATGTACGTAACATAATGTATGAAACATGAATTATTAAGCATGGCGGCAAATTGCACGACCACGGGGTTGATTAAAAATGTAGTTGCTAAAATATCCATAATGTGATTGTCCCGTTAATCTGATAGATATTACACTGAGTTGATACGTTTTGTACGGATTCAAGGGCTTACTTTACATTCAACCTCGTTTTCTACCAATGTCAAGTAAAACAACAACAAAAACAGACAACATTTTTTATGTGAACGCCTATATGACTTGTGGTAAGGTGTCCCTGACAAATTTCTAAACCATTTTGGATTGTCTAAGGATGATTATTTCTCTTTGAATAAAAAAAAAGATATTAAAATATATTATCAGTGAAAATAAATTGTTCGCCAGAAAATCGGACACAGTACTAATAAATCTGGGACAAAGTATGGAATTTTTTGTTTATCCCGGTAGAAATTGGATTTCTATGCCGTGCATAGATGATATTCATGATGGCCAGATCATAATGATCGAGTAATACCTTTTATTTCTATTAAAATATGTGAAGAATAATCAATTTGGTGGAAAAAATATATAATATCCCGTTCTTATTTGTACATCGATCTACCATGGACTTTAAAAAACTGTCGATGCTCAGTTTTTTGTTATTTTATTTTATATACGAATACAAAGGCAGAGTGACACTGATATAATACAATAATAATGCTGATGATAATAAAAATAAACTTCAAAAAGGAAACAATTAAATACCCCGCTAGCGGTGCGCAAATGCGTTCCATTTCCCCCCACTGAGTGCCTCAAATTTTATCTATAGTCACGTGACATGTGCGACAGATACTAGACGCACAGTAAATCATGTTAAGAATTGAAGAAATTTCGGCTATAAACTGATATTAATCAGCAGCTTTTTAATTGGTCAGATGTCACTGGGTCATAAAATGTTGTTAGAGTATGTTACCGCAACTTGTGACCCTCTCTGGTGCGATATTTGTGTATTATGCAATTATTTAGCGTGAAACGTAGGGGTCCGAGAGAGAACAGCCGATTCATTACACTTCGTTTGAAGCGGGTCGGACTAACTTTGAATCGGCATAACTTTTTTAATAATCAAGCAATTAACATGCAGTTTAAAGCACATGAAAGGAAATTCATTTACGGAGGGAACCTTGTCAGGGATTTTTGTTTGCTCAATCAGCGACTTAATTATCTTTAATTACGTAATATGTATGGTGAAAAGTCGCATAAAATGTTTGACGTTATATAATATTTTTTTGAGAAAAGATAGAAAAAATTTGAGACACGGTTCCCTAGATAATATAAGTATGGTTATTTTCCAAAAGTTTGATGACAAAAAAATAAAAAATGACTTTGATATGACGATTTAAAATTTTAGGATTTTTATTAAAAATCAATCATTTACAAAGGCATTTTTTTCAAATATGTTATTTTTTATGATGATCAACGACATTTAATGCACAAAGATTAAATAAATAACAATTATTACTAAAATAACTTGGTTTAAATGACATTTATGTGTGTACCACGGAAAGTGTCTGTTGTCACCTTAACTAAATTTGTGTAAACAAATTTTTTTTTAAACTTACTTTAAATAGAAGAATGATTGTTCTAGTTGATATGTCTGCAATTTATATTTTTATCACAGGTAAACTGTAAAAGTAACTATGCTTTAAACAGTTCAAAATTTCTCACTAAACTTTTTTAGTTTCATTTTTGTGTGTGTCACTGTGTGCGCTAATTTTCACAAATCAAATGGCCTGGCCCCATTCATCATGAACGGACACCCAATATAAAACTGGGAAAAAGATGCCCCCACATTCCACTATTCTGTCAGTCTATGGACCAGTAATATGACAGCAGAATGAATTAACAAATCTGTAAATCAAACCCTGTATAAAGTAGTGGGGGCATAAATCAGATGCACCAACAGTGCTGTACATTATTTACTTACATTTGAGGAAAATCAGGTGGGGTTTCTTTTACTTATATTATAGCCAATACTAGTTCACATTCATAATTGAAAATAATATATTATTTTCCCAATCTACAGGAAAAAATTCAAAATTGAAATTGAAAAAAAAAATCTAAAATCTCGGAAAATAAGGACTTCCTCACTGTTATAGTTTTTTTATGTTTGAAGATGCCATACTACACAATAATTATTTGCATACAAGTAATCACTGCAAAAAATGTCTCCAGCATTTTTTCCACTCATTTTTTTATAAAACATTGGTGAAATTCCCATTGAATTCCATGGATTTTGGTAATTTTCCTAAAATCATGGGAAAAAATCCTGAAACTACACATATTTACATAATCAAACACTTTCATTGTGTTATTATCATTTACTTTAATCGCTTAATGTTAAACTTATCATTATCATTATTATGCTCAAAATAATTCTATTCTTCTTCACAAGGTGCAAACATGTTTTTAAAGCTGAATATTTCAAGAAATAAAAAAAATTGTTATGAAGATTTTGAGAACAGTGAAAAGATTTTAAACTCAATCAATAATTTACATGATATTATATGCAATTAATGATGGATTTTGCAGTATCGATCACCAGATTTCTTCTGTGTTACTGAGCAGTAAGGGGTCCCGTTTTTTTATTGTTTTGTTTTTCTTTAATTCTACAAAAATGTGGATCTAATTTGAATCAATTGTAAAAATCTTGCCATTATTTTAAATGCTACTTTTTGTATCATATCTCTTACCATAATCTAATCAAAATATTGTTTTCAAGTTATGCCCCGGACAAGGAAAAGTAACAAAGGGCAATAACTCTGTAATTAGTCAAGATAGAGTTATGGTTCTTGTGCACTGCACTTCCTCTCAATGTGCTTGACCATTGCATCTGGTTATATTGAATTCAAACTATTAGTCTTCAAGTTATGGTCCAGACAAAAAAAAAGCAATGGAAAAGTAACAAAGGGCAATAACTCTGTAATTACTTTAGATATAGTTATGGTTCTTGTGCACTGCACTTCCCCTTATTGTGTTTGACAATTGTATGAAGTTGTTTTGAATTCCAACCAGTAGTTTTCAAGTTATGCCCCAGACAAGGAAAAGTAACAAAGGGCAATAACTCTGTAATTAGTCAAGAAAGAGTTATGGTTCTTGTGCACTGCACTTCCTCTCAATGTGCTTGACCATTGTATGTAGTTATATTGAATTCCAACCAATAGTCTTCAAGTTATGCTCCGGACAAGGAAAATGCAACGGACATCTGGACCGACAGACCGACCAACCAACCGACCACCGGGTGACTCCTATATACCCCCCAAACTTCGTTTTTGGGGGTATAAAAAGTATTTGTTTATCTAAACATAAGTAAAGTAAATAAAAACCTTCATAAAAAATAATACAATACAAAAATTGGCTATTTTTATCTGATCAGTCATACATTGTACATGTAGGTAGATTATGGTCCATTTACTCCAGGTACTGAGGTAGCTTCACTTTTTCATAAACCTTCAAACTTTTCATAATTACAGCAAATCTCTTTGATAACTTTAATGCATGATTTTATTGTACAGCAATGTGTAGATAGGGCCATTAATGCAATGAATGATGTACATACATATTTGATTTTTGAGGTCAGTGGGCCAGGGTAATCTTGAAATTCTTTGGATCTTAACAAGTCTTTGACAAGATTGCCAATCTGCTAATGGACAGAACAATTGTTGTGATATGACCTTGGAAGATTGCACAATATTTAACACCATGCTGTGTCTGCTTAGTGCTATCTAAACAATATTTTAATGCACTTGAAAAGACCACAGCTTCCAAATATATATTTGTCAGTCAACTTTATGGCAGAATCCCCGTTGCTACCGGAAATATTCTATAGCAGGGGCTAAGTAATTAATCTGTGTGTACCCTAAAACACATTAAAACTTTAACATGGTAAGCTTATAACCATAATATGAAATTAGGCAAAGCCTATAACGGGGAAGTCGTTAAAAATTCCTTTCATTCTTTCCGTTTTAAAATTGTCATTCGGTATTACATGCACAGCTTCCGTTTTCACTCGGAATACTCTACGTTAATTATTTATCCGAAAAGTTGAGATTTGTTCCGCTATCGGAATATCCGCCTTTTATCATTGAGTTACATTGTAAATGGCGGCGCCCAACTAGAACTGACACTGAAAATTTCATTGATAGGTATAGAATTCTACATATTTTTTAAATGTTTTTTATTTGATTTTCTTTTAAATATACACGTGTAGTCTATAGCCGGGCAAGCCAAAGCCCGGACCCGCTTCGCGGGCCCGGTCTTTGACTTCCCCGTATAAATGCTTGATTAATATTCATTAGTTGAACAAACATTATTCCACAATTCAATTTGATATGTTCTATAATTTGTTAATTGCCGTGCCCATGCAGTAACTACAAGATGTTAGGAAAACCCCTAGTCTGGTTGGTAGCTATTTATGTAAGGCCATCCTTAAAAAAAATTTTGTTTGCAGTAACCCGACCCAGAATTTTAAAAGTGGGTAGGTAGGTCGATTTTTTTTTTTTTTATTGAACTGTACTCCCAAATAAACATGGAATTTCAAAATGCTGGACAATATATGCTTTGATAATCTGGTAACAATTAATAAATTGATAACTGAATTCTAATTTAATAAGACCTACATTTTATTTCTTCTATTAACCTTTAAAGGAACGAAAACAAAGCACAAAATTGATTCAAAATTTTTTTTTTTTATCCAGACCATGAAAAAAAATTTTGAGTAGGGGCAAATTTTGTGAGTCGGTCGCGTTACTGCAACCAAACATTTTTTTAAGGATGGCCTAAACACTCTAAATAATAACACCCTAATATTATGCATAGAATGCCCTTATGAATGATCATTCTTTACAATATTACACTTGACATGTATGCTAGTTTTCATATCAAAATGTGATCTTCCTTCCGATTTATTAAAAAACTACATTTTTTCCAGAATTCCTCTATTAGCCGCCAAAATTTACTTGTCCATGGAAAGTAAACTGCAGAAATTATTTATCTGCAGAATTTTACTTGCCCGGACCTACAATTGTACGAACATTGAAAATTGATTTTGCCGGCCCTATTAGGTCAAAGTATTCCAATTAAAGGACAATCCAAACTTTTCGGCTTTAAAATAAGATGTTTTGAGTGAAAACAGAAGTGTTGCATGAAATACCAAATAGCACCTTTTAAAACGGAAAATGTAAAATAAAAAATGAACAACAGGGCTCGACATTAACGGTTGTCCGACTGCCCGGGACAACTAAAAGTTTGGTCCGGGCAAGTTATTTTGAAAAGCTTTTGTCCGACAGGGCAAGTGAAAATAAAGAGCATCATTGACAAATGCATGTACAAAATGAATAGAAATAACATCTTTTCATTTATAAACATCTTTAAAACAAAAATACACCATGAATTATTATCAATAATGTGAATATACTACGGTCATGTACATTTGTTGATATAGGAAACGGAAGCAAAAATATGAGCATGCGCCGCGGTAAGGTAATTCTCTGTTCTAAAAATAGACTATATCTAATTTTGTACAAGGTAATTCCCGGGTTATGCTGTTGTTTAAATTTTGATGTTTGCATGTAAAGATATCATTGAAAATATGTAGATAATCATATTGATCTTTAAATATAATTGTTAAATAAAGTTTTTGCATTAAAAATGATTTATTGTTTAATCTAATATAACAACATTATGAACTTAGTAAACGAAGACTCGTTTACGGCTGTTGACTTGATGATTGAACTGGGAATTTCCTTACCGCGGCGCATGCTCATATTTTTCCTTCCGTTTCCCATATCAACAAATGTACATGACCGTAGTATATTCACATTGAATAAACAGATGAACCGATGTTTTAGAAAAACTACTAAATACAAAAAATATTTATGAGCTTGTTTGTTTTTCTGATTTATACATTTTTACCATTTTTAGGTCAGGACAAGTAAGTCTTAGGTCAAGTAGTTTTAAAAACTACTTGCCCGACAGGACAACCTGATTCAAAAGTTAATGTCTAGGCCTGAACAATTATTTTAACCTACTTCCCGGTTGGCCTAATTTCATATTATTTTATAATTTTCACTGAAAAGCATGTAACAAAGCTTTATCATAAAATAAAATTTTATAACCTATACAGTAAGTATTACTGCACTAGGGTCTAGGCTTAGCGTTTTCATTCCCAACTTCACCAGTTAACAGGTTAATTGAGTTATTGACTTTCCCAACTTCACCAGTTAACAGGTTAATTGAGTTATTGACTGTCTGTGGTGATTGACGTTTAATTCATAACGCAAGCTTACAAATATATTATAACATTTCACTATTCTCCCACGTGTTTTTAAAATTGTTCCATTATTGTTTTTTAAACAGATAAAGTTACAAAAAAATTTAATTGATGTCAAACAAAAAGGAAATACGGGGTGGGTTCATTTTCGACGAAAACTTTCATGAAAGTAAGAACTTAAACAAATAAATATAGCAAACCTTTGTGACACTGTACAACCTCCAAATGTTTATCCATTACTGCAGGTGTCTGATCCATTACAAGTCAAGCGAATCAGGTTGAATAAGTAGCAAACACCATGTGCGAAAATAGAAAATTCGTAATCGGTCTTCCGTGCAATGATATCAGCATGATATTTACTTTATTACGGGTCAGATTTAACTCATGGCGTTTCCGTCCTTGCATAAAATGGTACATTAAAACACGGTGTCAAGGGTATACGCATCATTTTTCCGCGTACCGCCGATAATTTATCATCATGCGCGCAACACCGTATCATTCTTACGTAATCTTCTGAAAAGTGCAAGAGGTCAATTCAAAAATGGGGAAAATTCTTACTAATATTGATTTTATTTAGAGAGTTTGCATACACCACGGAAGTTTTGAATGATTCATCTATGTGTGCAAAACATTTTGCAACAATATTTGTCTATCATAGCCTGAAACTAATGAAAACAGTTTAATACATGTGAAAAATTTGTGTTCTTGATGCGAACATTTTTCATCCTTTTCCGAAAGTAAATCTGTCGGAAGAAGTATCATATGTCAAATGATCACAAAAAGCATTGACCCGAGCTGATAACATACCATTTTTATACAAATAATGCAAAATAATGTTGTAAAATCAAGAAAACTTTGATAATTGTGGTACCGCATCATGCAGAACCATGGCACCGCTTCTTTTTGCGCGGTAATACTGCATACATGTACTTAAAAATGTGTTTAACCGTTTTTTTTTTTGTTTTTGTTTTTTTTAGGGGTGGGGGGTATTGTTAATTTTTATTGTAGGATTGACAAGAATAGATAGATGTTGGTTATCGGAAAGGGTAAGCTTGGCAGTGTATTACCTGGGCCTGGATAAAATCTGGACCTCTATAGGTTTTTTTTAAAGAAAATTTCTTGTTAAAATTCTATGCTTTCGTAGCAGTTGCATTTTATGTCTTTTGTGAAGTTGAACTTTTCTTTGGACTAGGGAATTGCATAATATTTGCTGATATCAGTAATTGAAATTTTACTCTCAAATTTGTTAATACAACACACAAGCAAGTCAAAGCTCATATTTCTAAAATGGTATTTCTTTTTTACATTTGAATTTTAGTTACTTTAACTAAATGACTGGGCACTTAACTTACGCATGTAACTGAATTTAAGAATTATAAGGTGGCAACTATGTATGGTGGCTGATTTGGTACATTGCGCGTTTCGTTGTCGATAGCGACGATGCAACCTATATCGTTATCGCATTTTCGCTGGCGACAATACGACAAAGCACCAAACGGCACGTTGACGCGCTGTCATCTTGTTGTCCTGTCTCTAGCGCGGCACCAGAAACGGCGCGTTGTTGTGTGGCGTGTTGTCGCGATGTCACATTGTGCTTATAAGCTTATAAGCCAGCGACAGGGCGACATCGCGCCGCGGGACAACGTAAAGTTTATCGTGCCACACTAGAGACAGGACCACAAGATGACAGCGCGCCGTTTGGCGCTTTGTGATGTTGTCGCTAGCGACAGGACAACAAGACGAAAGTAGGACAACGCGCCGTTTGGCGCTTTGTCGTGTTGTCACTAGCGCCAACTAGACGCGCAAAATCGTACCAAATCAGTCACCATAATGTGCTTGAATTATCCTCCCTATATTATTATACGACTATTATCCCCCCACCAGGAGAGCTATTCAAAAAGTGTATTTTTAAGTCTGTAAGATATGATGGCTGATTTGGTATATTACGCGTTGCGTTGTCGATAGCACCCTTTCATCTTGTTGCTACCGACAACACGACAAAGCCCCAAATGGTGCGTTGTCGCGCTCTTGTCTTGTCGCCCTGTCTCTAGCGAAGCGCTAGCCAAACGGCGCGTTGTCCTGTCGCTAACGATGTACGCCAAACGGCGCGTTGTCATGAGAGTGTCATGCGGCGTGTTGTCGCGATGTCACCCTATCCCTTGGCTTATATTAGCAAATCCTTCGATTTGAACCGTGCGACAATGTGACATCGCGACAACAAGCTACACAAGAACGCGCCCTTTGGTATGCCGTGCTAGATACTGGACAACAAGACGACAGCGCGACAACGCACCGTTAGGTGCTTTGTCGTTTTGTCGCTAGCGACAAGACGAAAAGGTGATATTGATATAGGTTGCGTCGTTGCTATCGACATATGACATATATGACATCGCAACAACACGTCGCATGACAACGAGCCTTTTGGCGTACTTTGTTAGTGACAGGACAAGACGAAAATCCGACGCGACGCACAAAAGTGTTCCAAATCAGCCATAATAGTAAGAAGACACTTTTAAATAACCTTTACTTTCCACATGGATTTAGTGCAGTTGTAATATGCGGTGTCCTTCTTTGGACAATTTAAGGACTGTTTTTTTTGACATGCTCGAATTTTTCTTAAAGTTTTGTCCGTCTTTCTGTATTTTTATAGATAAAGTAACAAGATTTTACATTCTCATAAAATACTTTTCGCGCCATTCAACGTTAAATTTGTCGAATAGTTGAACTTAAACAAGAGATTTAGTCAATCTTTACATGCGATACCGGTATTTAACTGCATCAAAAAGAACACTATAAAAACCGATGGAAAGTATTGCGCATCTCATTAGAATATCCAGTTTATCGAGAAATTGGATGGCCATTTCCAGGACCAAAATAACTGTTGATTTTAGCATTGACGAAACTAACAGTTGTTCGTTGGAAGATGGTTCAACACTTAGTTTTTTAATATCGTCTGACATTCTATAAATAAAACAACATTAACGTGACATTTACTGTACCCATCGACCCACACACCTAAAAATCAACTGCCATAAACGGCTGAACATTGCGTTAAGGTAAGCATGTGAATAAGGCAACTTCTAAATTTGGGGTCCAAAACGTAATCCATATAACATTGACGCAAAACCAGTTAGAGACGATTTCAATGTTGACTGACATAATCGATTTTAGTAAATTTGACATTCTGTTAATTGATGACAATTTAAGATTCTTGCTCAAGGAAACATGGCGCCTCAACAAGCGATGCTAAAATTCCAAGTCCGCCCTTTCAGTCTAGAAGTCTCGGCTTCGATTCCTTACTCTTCCAATGTATTTACTCAAATTCTTTAGTTATAACAATATTTTATTTATGAACATTTCATTTACATGATAATTGACAAATATTAAATTGCACGGATTGAATAGGAAGCTTGATTTTTTTTTAGAAACTCTCTCCGTAAGCACTATCTCAATGAGTATGTATTTGTTTGTTTGTTTCATTTTACGCCTTTTCCCAACAGTATTTCAGTCATATAGGCGGGTAGTTTCCTAACCATCGTTCCTGGAGAGTTACACCAGTACTAGACTACCTTCCTCCGCGCTAAACTACCAAAGCATCGAACCCACGCCAGAGAGGTAACTGGATTAGAAGTCATCGACTCTAACCACTCGACCACTGAGGCGGTATAAAAGAGTATAATGTTTAAAATGGTAACAATTATATAAGCATATTCGTGTTAAATATGCATAACATTTTCGGCAATTTGCATCCAGGTTGTCCTAATCGAACCGATCTTAATTATAAAGTAAAGACTCAGATTCTTTCGCATGTGACCGTGGTCCCATGTGTTTACACCGGACACACAAAGAACCAATTTTGCTTCTAGAACAGACTAGTATTTATGCATTTCCCTCCGATTTGTAATTAATTTATATACATCTACATGCTTCGCCCAGATGGGCAACAATATATAAATACAAATAAAATTAGTCACCATTAGGTTAATCATCATGATGCGGTGCAAGTCTAGCGCTAATGTATACGGTGCCACAATTTTCGGTGCGGACCCATGATACGGTACCAAGAACTCGGTCAGTTGTCACGCTTTTATGACTTTTTTAAGAAATTAAACAGCTTAAATTTGTGTGCAATATTTTTTGTATACAATTCTTTGATGCTTACAGTTATATCAAATAAATATTTTGATTGACAACATAATTTTCTCCTTTTAAAAGTTTTCCAAATGATCATTTTTCCCAAGCCAGCTCTAGCTGTTTTCATTAAAACACAGAAATCGTACAAGTCTTTGATAAAAACTAGGTAAAGACATAAGCTTCAATGATCATAATATTCCGTAGACACACTTTTATGAATACACATACTTCAAAAGTGTGATTTTCAGGTCGTTTTTCATCATGCATGTTATGTTTCTGTGTTAGTTTTGTCTAAAATGATACGGTGCTGCACGCAGGATGATAAATTATCGACGGTACGCGGAATAATGATGCGTATACCCTTGACACCGTGTAAAATGAGCCTCAGAAATTATGCTTTGTAAGAATACTTTGCAAGTTTTATTCTTATTTGTCATTTTTCTCATATTTGTTAATGATGATGATAAATTTGTTAATAAATTTGTAAATTTGTCCCCCCCCCCCAAAAAAAAAAGAAAATAATAAAAATAAATAAATAAATGAAAAGATCATTATTATTATTCATTCCACGTATTTATAGTATGTAATATAAATCCGTGTTCATTCTCAGAAAAAAGATGACATAGAAATTTTCATAACTCTTTTTTGGTATATTTTTATAAATGTAGATCTACTGGCTATTATATATGCATTGCTTCTGTTAATTGTTTATATTCAACAGAGACATAGAAAACATGAACAGAGACGTTAAAACGCGTATTTATATTTCTATTTATAGATCTCTTATATAAAAATATGTTTTAAAATGAAGAAAAAAAGAATTGGATTGAAAAATTAATTGAAAAGTTCAATTTGACGCTTATGCGATATAATAAATGGTAATGAAAATCTTAATCTGAATATAAATGTTAAATGTTTAGGTTTATTACCGTTGTTTTAGAAAACGTCTATAGATACACGGATACATCTTTGATATGATCTAGCTGTTTTGGATCATGGCCTATTCACGGGAGAGGAAGTGTTACGAGGGATGGAGTTCTTATGATAACTTGTCAAGGAATTTTTGTGATAACTGTCACGGAGTTCGTCGGAAAACTATTGTATATACTGCAAAAATACTCGTCAAAAATGGCAAGCTAAATTAGCACCTAAAACTCACTTTTTAAAGATATAAAAATTCATTTTGACGAGTGTTTTTGCAGTATAGTTTTCCGACGAATTCCGTGA